ATTCCGAGCGCTTGTGACCGAATCCTATACGATGAGGAGAAGTATGGACCATCTAGGTGCGGTGTATTTTTGTTCTGGCGCTGCAAGTAGCCTCCGAGACCGGAGGACCATAGTTTCCTTAGAGCTTTACAAGTTTTAAGATCACAGCTGTCCATCTTTTTGTGGTTTGCCACCTGTAAATGGGATCTTCGCTGATTAGCTGCTTTTTGCACATAATTTGCCAACTGCAGCGGCAAGCGCCAACCTAATCCATAGTAAACAGAATACATAGTACAAATTTAAATTAAAAGGGGAGGCACATTACGATATGGAATACCTAATGTGTGACAAATATTCATAATACACGTTTACAGGAACAAGACATCACACCGTTGTTGAACGAAACCATGGTCGCGGTGGTAGGTTTTGCAGTTCATGTGAACAAGGGTACTGGCCACAAGCGTTTCCGCCTCCTATTATTTATATGCTGTAACAAGCGCTAAGCGAAATATCATACCCGACTGCTTCTATAAAAACTGACGCTAGCAATCGGGATTTATATTCAAATTAGGAGAGCACTCTAATACGACTTACTTTAGCGTAACTCAAACAGGGCAGCTATTCGAGGCAGTACAAATGACATAAAACATGCTTTATTTCAAAAACTCACAAAATCTTCGTGCGCAGACAGGCGATTGTTTTGTGGGTCCTCAACATTCAAGTCAGACGAGGAAGCCTTCACAAATGCAACTGAACTATGCGCTTCGTGAGATAGGGCGGAGTTAATAAATGGTTCTGAGGTCTGCCGTGTTTTGCCAGCTGGCCGAAAAGTGGAAGGCATGTAATCAGTTTCATGGGGCGGCAGTGGTTGGCCTGAGTTTCCGTGAGCCTTCTGGTAGTCCAGTCGACCGTTCGGTCCCAGTGTTAGAGGCGATGGTGATGAGGTCTGACCGATGGCGCAACCGCCACTGTCCAGTCCACTGTCACTGCCACCGCCGCTCAAGGTAATTGAACCTGCCACCTCGCATTCCACCGCGGCGACGTTGGCCGCCGCCGCTTGCTCGTTATAGGCATAGTCATAGAATGTTCGCGGAGCAACCATATGCGGTGGGAGGTTGTTCGAGGCGTCAACGGCATTAGCTGCCATTTCAGACAGTCCCATGCAA